AATGTCCAGACACTCATGGCTGTGTGAACACACACACATTCACACAGCATCTGGATTTGTGTGAAAAAAAAACCTCACTGATTCATGGTGAAGTGGGAGCAGCTTTGTCATCTCCAGCGCCATCTTGAGGTGATTACAGTGAGTGGCAGTTACGCTCCACAGCCACACAGCTCCTGCAGGAGGACTGTGGAGGTGGACGCTCTGATCATCTGTCTTCAGCTGCACATTCAGACCACAGGATGGGAGTGTTTGTCTGTCCTCAGGCAAAATGTCAGAGTAGTGAGTCAGAGAGCAGCAGCAGCAGCAGCAGCAGCAGCAGCAGCAGCAGCAGCAGCAGCAGCAGCAGCAGCAGGTCTTCACCGGCCTCCGCCGCTGCCTGAGTAAACACCTCCTCTGTCTGACAAGTGCAGACCTGAGGCTGGAGGAGGTGGAGGAGGTGGAGGAGGTGGAGGAGGTGAGCTGTTCCAACACGTGGAGTTCATCTCACACAGACTGACTGACTGACTGACTGACTGAGAGGAGCTTAACATGGCTGCTGGTTCACTACGGTTCACTACAGTACGGTACAGTACGGTACAGTACGGTACAGGTCCTCTGCAGTTCTGCCTTAACTCGCCACATTCTCTCAAAACACTTCAGCACAATTGTCTTTCAGACATAAGTGCAATTATTTTAATTTGCCGTCTCCCCCGTCTCCCCCGTCTCCCCCGTCTCCCCCGTCTCACCCCAGTCTGGCTGTATACTGCAATATTTCTGTGGTCTGTGGAGTCGATCTGCTCCACCTGATGGCGCCTCCTCTGCCTGACAGGGAGCAGTGGAGCTCCTGTTGGCTGCCAGCCAGACCAGCATGAGTCTCTCTCTCTCTCTCTCTGTCTCTGTGTCTCTCTCTCCCTCTCTCTCTCTCAGACAGAGAGCACTTACGCAGCCACATCTTCTGTCATCCCTCCTTCTTTGACCCATCTGCCTTTTCTTCTGGTCCTGAATAAATAAAACCAGTGTCGGTGTCGTGTCTGTCCACGTTCATAAAGAGACAGAAAAGAAAACGTCTTTGTCCTCAATGCAGTTAAAGCCTGTGATTTATGTCTGGGGTTCTGATCAAAAATGGAAAATTGACCAAAAATATATAGAATAATAGAGTGAAAATCATGAGGCGACCTGTCTGTAGACCTGTCTGTAGACCTGTGAGTCTGTCCTTAAACTGTCCTGTCTTGTCATTTGTCTTGTCTGACGTTGAGGTTCGTAGAGAATCGTTTTGTTAGTGTTTGATGTCATTGTTTTATCAATAAAGAAATGTATT